CAAACTTTTTTCTTAAAATAAGATTTTTAATATTACTTATTATCATAAAGATATATTTACACACTTTACAGAAATAGAAAATAAAAACACAAAGCTACGCATGAAAGGAAAAATAAAATAAGTACTCCAAGAGCTAAAGCTTATCTTTTATAAATTAGAAACCAAAGGTTCAAATATGTACACAGTATTTCAACCATTTCTGATACACTTGTTTTATTCATTTATTTATTTATTCATGTCATTTATTTTTGCCCAGTTCAACATCGAAACAGAGACAGGGACTGTACATTTGGCCTGGTGAGTAATATGAGCACACACCATGAACAGAAGAGAAGTTTTAGAATTAATACATTGTCGTTCCAATGGTATCTGCTTGAGTAACACTGTTGTGAAGCTATGTGGGAGCTAACAGAATGGATTCCTATGATTGTTTTGAATATGACTTTTCTTGGACGCAGTGGTTACAAAGATGGTGGATGTGTCACAATCGAGGCAGGAAGGGAGTGGTGGTGGTGGTGGTGGGTGGGTGGGGGGTGCGCAGTGCTATTCTGGGTGTTGGAAGTCTCATTTAGAGGCTCATAGATAATGACAGATCGTTGTCATTTCTCGTGAGAGTCGGAATCTAGTTATCCTTTGGATTGCTCAGCTTGTGGAGAAGTGTCTATGGATTGAATATCAGCTACCTGATCCTGCAGACACCCACTCTGAAGGCCAACATGATGCAGTTTGATGGGATTAGAGACTCACAAAGTAAAATTGTGGAATGTGTAGCGTGCCAGCTCTGCTTCCATCTATGCATTCAGTGAATTGTTCGTATGCAAGTATAGAAAACGACAACATAAACTAAAGGGTGCATTTTAAAACCTGCTTCTGTCTTCTCATCTCCACTTGTAACACACATCCATATCCCATCCTTACTTCTTGCATACTCCCTGACAAATGCATCTGAACAAAAACAATTAAGCACAGAAGGGGCAGAACAAATATGATTTTTTTCTTCTAACAGGAAAACATGCTGACAAGTGCATAGAAACATCACTCAGGCCTTGAGATGGTCACAGAGAGGAGGAATTGGAAAGGAGACATTGAGAGGACAGGAATTGTTTCTCCAGTGTGTAAGCCTTTGCTGGAAGAAACCATTAAGGAAAATGGTTTTGCTCCCCGAGCATAATGTATTGGTTTACCGTTTCAGTTTTAGCCTGGACATGCTTGTCCTTCCACACCACCAGGCCCATTAACCTGACGCGTAGGGGAGGGCTGTGAGCTATGATCTACAAGAACAGAACGCCTGAAAGCTTTCACGTGTCCACGACATATTGTGCTGCAGACTACTTTTTCTATTTTGTTACATCCACACAAGATACAGCTTTCCACACTGTATTGATAAAGTAAGCTTTGGACAACCAGCTAGACAAGAATCAGACAAAGATAAAATTGTCACAATACACTGGAAAACCGTTCCATACCGAGAGACTCTTGTTTTTAAGGGTGTGTTTTTCCAGCAGCAAGACGGAATTGCAAAAAAGTGCAGCCTTGCAAACCCCCACAGAGAAATCTTGGAGCAAAGTCATGTCTATTTGTTGGAGCAACCAGGAACTTTGGATTTGTGGGATATTTGGTTTTTAGTTATTTTGGGGGGTTTAACTGATGACCAGAACGAAACTAAAAATAATAAATTGCAGAAACATTGGCTTGCTCGGGTCTCTGAAAGGGCAGCATGGCAGGTGCAGATGGTGAGCATACATTCATGAAGAGCCGTCGCTCGGCTCCCTATAACAGTAACTTCTGAGATGGGTGTAAGGGGGTGGGGTTGGGGGTATTGATTCGAGCCCCTTTACCACAACCCAGTCTGCTTTTTAGCATCCTGCAGCTTTGAACTTTCATTCCTGGCTCAAATTTTCCTATCATCTTCTCCAATAAGACGTCCTGAGCTGAAGCTGTCTCACTCCCATGGAGTAATAATGGAATCTACATGTCTGTCTGTGAGGGTATGAAAAAATAATGCTAGAACTGAAATTATTACACTTCACAGTGCCCTAGGATTTAATGCATTTTTAATCAAGGTGAGCCTAGCTGGGTGGATTACCGCTGTGATTTTAGACGCTCTCTCAATAAAATCTTCTCTGGCTGGGACTGAGAAGATTCTGCTTTTTATTAGAACGTTTGCATGAGACATGGTGAGAGGGGAAAAAGAAAAGTTATTAGTTACCTGATAATTATGCGTTTTGATTGCAATCTAGAGGGCTGAAGTGTATTTTTTGGTACAAAAAATGATGATGGCCTGGAATATACTTGCTTTTTAACCTTGCATTGATGCAGGCAGCAGGCTGTGTCTTTGTTCACATTTGCTGCTGCATAGCATGTAGCACTGGAGGATTCCACTAGGGGGCACACTAGAAAACTCTGATCGGATAGAGAACTGGGTTTGTAGGATACAAACAAAATACAATCAATAGAAGAAATCAGTGAATGGTTAATTTAGAGATTGGGGCAGAAAAAAAAGGACACTAGCGGTATTGTAGATGGTGTGAAAGACATCTAAACCAGAGATGATGGCTAAGTGTGTCTGGTTTTGTCAACTCCACCTATTGGTTACTCGTATATTGCAGCGTTTGAATGTGTCACGTTAATTTTGAAGGACACGCACAAACAACGCTTGAAATCAACACAGGTTACATGTCACAGCCATTTTAAACATGCATACGCGTCGTTAAACTGCAAGTATATTCCGTTTCCACTATCACAACTTATGGATAATTTTACTGAAAGCATCACTTTCTGAATCATTTTAAGATTTGTCAGAGTACTTGAACTGGCCAGGTAGAGTTGCTGGGTGGTACTTGTGGTCAGATCCTGCTGATTGGTTATAAATCAGTAGGAAATGACATCAGCAGGCATTGTCAAAATAACTGGCATTTGTAAAATTGGAAGAGTTGCTGGTGATGCAGGTTCGAAGAAAAAGAAAATAACTTTTAAAAAATCACCGTTTCTAAACTCCCAACACCAAAAGAATTACGGCAGACATCCCCTCACAACACTTTAATTCACTTTACGGTCTCCTACAGAGCTCTGTAAAAATGACGCTTTGTCTGATAGTTGAATGTTGCTTTTTACATCACACAGTTGGCTTACTTTGACAGAATAAAATGTCCGTGGAAGCCTTTTCAGTGATGTCACTTACTCCTAAAACGGTAGTGAAATGCTGATGTCTTAACTGAAGTCATGAAAGGGCTAATTTTGTATGTAGATAATGGCGGAGAGGACCAAGCCAGTAGAATTCCCACAGTGGAAACACGGTTATTAAGGAAAGGGCTGTCCTGCATGCCGACAACACCCAAAAAACTGTATGTAATGTGTCCTAATATGTGACAAGGTTACAATCTGAATCAGCAGGAGTTTGGAAATCGAAAAGGGGGAAGGGTACGGTTTTGGTCTAAGCCAACTTAACAATGAGCTCAGACTAAGTGGCCCCAGCCAACCTTAGGGAGATCCATCTGAGAAAGATTAACTGTAGGATTTAATGAGTGAACTGATCAAAGCCACGACCACCTGTGCTGTGGAAAGGCAGATTACAAAGGCAACTGTATCCAAAAAAACATGAGCAGAAACGACTAACTCGCAAAAGAAAATTACAAATAAACTGGTGGGATTAAAGATTCAGTATATGAAAATATGCTCATATAAGTTTGTATGTCTGTGTTGAATAAATGCACAAAATAGACTGATCTAGTACAAGCCTCTATCACAGCACCCTGAGAAAAAGGAAATAAAACTATAACACAGAAATGAATATAAACAGTAATATATTCCAGTATGAGGGAAAGGCATAGCATTTATTTTTTCTGTGATAAATATTGTCCAAAAGGTCAAACTTGCCATATACTAGAATATTAGAACAGCCAGAGCACTAGTGTAGGCTGATCATGGCGGCATTTTAACAACTGAGCTGACGTTTAGCTTTAAGAATGGCTCTCTCAAAGTGTTTTCCTCGCTAACATTGTCCAACTCATATGTTTGCAGAAATTTAAAATGCATAATGTATATCAGTGTATCTAGACTTTAAAGAAGAGGTAATGTGTTTCTCTCTGACCTTTCATTCTTCCGTTCCTGGCAGCATTGTGGAGAACGTTATTATTTGGCACTTCATTAAAAGGCGAGGCCGTCTGTCGAAAGAGCAAACTGCCACTGCCAGTTAACAGTCGTGTAGAGCAGCTGCGCAGGGCAGCGGCGCGGTGAGAAAGGCTGGGGATCGGGGACGGGATTGCCATTTGGGGGTTAAAGGACTCCTTCAAGGTGGGACATGTTACAGTAACCTTGTCAGTGAAACCCCCCTTCCCCGAGGTGTTTTAAAGAGCTGAGAAACACCAAACATAGCTTTGGATTGAACAACGTCCTAAGCGAGGGAATCATTCTGTCACTTAAATAAAAAGTTTTGACAAGATGTGCTCTCTTTTCAGTACAACTTTACTTTGCATGTAGACGTCCTGACATTTAGAGGGACAAAGCACCATTAATAACAATAATTAAGTGATGAGTTATGATCTGAGGTGATGCCTCCTCCTGTTCTGTTTGACCATTTGTTCCTTTTGCAGAGCATCACAACAGAACATTGTTTACGTCCTAATTTAGAACTGACTCTGCCCTTCTGTAAGATCAGCACCCTCGCCTGCTAAAGGTGCTACACAGCAATGAAAGTCAGCGGCTGATGTAACCTGGGATCTGAGACATGCAAACACCACATCCTGGAGAAGAGACAGATGCTTTAAGACTCAGATTGTTTTAACTGGGCTCCCTCTCCACCACATGTCATGCAAAGAGTGTAGGACACTCAGAAAGGTCGCTATGACTGGGCTCTATTTAGCAAATTATAAGAAAATTGAAAATAATATAAAAACATTTGGGAAAAGACAGAGATAGATAAGTAGTGAGGGACAAAGAGAGAGAGAGACGGAGACAGAGAAATAGAGTCTGGTAGCTCAGGCTCAAACCCCCCCCCCCCTGTCGCCCCCATATTCCTCCTGGAGCTGAGGGTGAGTGGCTTGTCCTAATTTTTTGTGGACAGAGTTGCTTGGAGAACCAGCAGGTGCTATGGACATCACTCTTCAGGCTGAGCGAGCATAGGCCCTTCATTGCAAGGCCCCCCAAGGCAAAGGAAGAGCATAGAAATCAGAACCTAGGGGAGGGTGCTCAAAGCAGTGCCTGCAAAACATAAAAATAAACAGAGAAAACACAGTTAGCATTATTTGCCCTATACCTAAAAAAATAATCATACATTCATGTTAGGAAGGTTCATTCCATCTGTGTTTATGCTTAAACCCTCGTTACATTCCATCTGGCCGTGCAATACATTCAGCCTGGAAAGTCGTCCTATTATGTGAATATATAGTCTGACCACGACCCATAGACAGAGCTCGTTGGTGGACGGACTCTATGGCTGTCTTTCAAACTGTTTCCACATGCAAATGGACATAGGACCAATCAGAGCAACAAACAACGTGATGTACTCATTGCCACGGAAATACACAAAATACGATGACTTAAATATCTGTAACTGCTTAAGTCTAAATTGTCTAAATCATCTTGAGCTGATGCCATTGGATGCCATCTTAGTAGTTTTTCTCTGTCACAGTTCTAGCGTTCAGCCTGCCCAACAAACATAGAGCGCTATTACCTGACCTGAAACCACTGGGTCCAGTAGTAGACCTGCTGAGGTTACAAAAGGGCGTGGCTAGACTGACCTGCAGAGCAAAACCTTTTTGCAACTGCGTCGGTCTGTCTAGATTTCTAAAATAAATTAGGATATTCGCAAAATATAGTACATTTTAGTTATTGATTTTAGATCATTTGTTTCTGTTAATGGTGAAGGGAAGAAAACCAGAAAAATGATCTGTTTTAGGTGTTATATATTGTCTTTTCAAAAACAAACAAAACAATTTTACTGTAAAAAGGCCTAATAATCAACTTTTAAATCCATAACTAAACAGAATGGATGTTTATATTTTGCTATAGCTAAATTAATTTAATTCATTTTCAAAAATGTATTCATGTCAGCTTTTTAAAACAGATTAAAACTATTTTTGTTATATTTTATACTTTGTTTAATTTTATTTTGCCAAGGATACTGAAATAGCTTCTAGCGGATCTATAACCTGGTTTAGTATCACTTGTAAACAGATGGAGGTATTTTGAGCCCTCCATCACTCAGTTTATCAGATTGAAGTAAACATTCTCTAAATGTTTGCCTGTCTTCCAGCTCTAGTTGTCAACACAAAGACTGATGTCATAGGAAGTCGTACAGGCAAACCAACAACAGACATAAAAGGAAAGGGTCTTTTTCAGAGGATGTAAAATCATCCCGTCCCTTCGTCCCTGGCAGACATTCAATATCCTCTCTGGTGAAGGAGACCCTCTGTGAGCTTCTGCCGAAGCCTTTTCTGTGTTATCTCACACATCGTAAAGAAAACACCACCTCAGGCATGCTGCAACCAGATTTCACGGGCTTTGATTGAACACTGCAACAAGGAGTATGAAAAACAAACGTATATCTTTCTGTGGAACACAAGCCTAACATTATACCTGACTCTGGAGGCTGGGTTAAACTTAACAATAAAAAACTTTTATCTTCTTTCTTCCTGAGATGATTTCTGAAGATTCAGACATGATCCATGATCTGATACGACTCCATTCTGCTTTCCTCATGACATTTTTCATTCTCGTGTAACGTCACATGATCTGACTCATGATTAGTCTAATCTTCACTGTTGCTGTTTGTTGTTGTGTTTGTGTTTTAGTATGATGTCATAGCAGCAGCCTGCTGAAGTCATTCTCCATCACACTGGGAGTGAATGGGAGGAGATGCAGATCTGCACTCCAATCTCTTTAGTTTTCTCACACTCCAGATCATTTTCCAGCGATTGCCTCTGGCTTTAAATCCGTAATATCCTGTTGTATTCCGGACTGTCGCTGGCATCTCTTGGATTCAAAAGCACGGTTTCATCCGAGTCTCCTTAGATGCTCAAAGTGGTTGACCTGGGTCGCAATCTTTCTTCTCCGAGCCGCTCACATCTGGAATGTGTAACGATGAAAAATCCACCGTTGCCTCAGGTGTCATAGAGAATAAAAGATGAGCTGCCTCTGACACTGAAATGGGGTGATGTTGCTAAATAGCACAGGCAGGAGGATGGACAACGTCAAGGAAATCATTGTTTTTTCTCTTCACATAAACAGTGTTTTAATTTTGTTCAGTCCAGGCTGTCTGCGAACCAGTACCAGTCTAGCTTTGATCAAACAAACTGCATCTCCAGCTGCTTCCAGAGGCGGTTTTCCCACCATCAGCACAGTCTGAAGAACAAAGCAGGAAACATGAGGAAGAGCAGAGCCCTTTGAGTCGATGTTTAAGAGAAAAGAGACAAATTGATGCTAGATGTTAGTTCTCACGAAGACTTAATTCTCTCACTCAGGCTGTGATCAAACCGGGACACAAACACGTCAGACGTCCTATGCAGAGTTTAATAGACAACATAATTTCTATTGTAGCCAAGTTGAAATTGGAATCTATGTGGAAAAAATAATAAGCTTCAAGAATGAGGTGAACTATGAACTTAGCAAGAGTGAATGGAGCCGGTGAGAGGAGAGGAACAACAAAAGGAAATCTTCAGCATGTTGTGGTTTAAATGGTTTGCAGAGACAGCATTGTGACTCAGTGAGCCGTTCACTTTTACAGAGCTTCACAGCTTCCTGAAACTCCTTTGATTACAGGGCCAGCGCTCTGCACCGGGCATTAGCTCCAAACACCCGGCTCGCTGAGAAGATTCTCACTTTTTATTGGCAGAGGGAACTTTTAAGATCCATCTTGTCCTTCAAGTGCTACCATCTCGCCTCACCGTTTCCACCTTTGTTATGAGTCTCTGGAATGCAATGTTTAACCTGGCCTAAGAAACGTAGTAGATTGTCCATTATTTTCTATGGAGTATAAAAAGTCCAAACTTCTACACTGTAAAAGAGGAAATGTAGAATTTACATTAAATGAGTTATGTCAACTGCTTCCACTAAACCTATTAGTTAAAATGTTAAAAATTAATGTATATTACTCTTTACATTTAAAGTAACAGTGAGCAGTGTCCTGCTCCTCTGCCCTACTGGTTCAAAGTGGAATTACAACTAAATACAACCCCCCAAGGTGCTTCACAACACAATCATTCATCCATCCTTTCACACACACATTCACACACTGGTGATGATGAGCTACAGTGTAGCCACAGCTGCACTGGAGCGCACTGACAGAGGCGAGGCATGCCAAACGCTGGCGCCACCGGCCCGTCTGACCACCACCAGTAGGCAAAATGGGTTAAGTGTCTTGCCCAAGGACACCACAACACCATTTTCTGGTGGTAGCCGGCATCAAACCTGCAACCTTCCAATTACTGGAAAACCCGCTCTACCTCCTGAGCTATTGCTGTCATAAACAACCCTGCTGCAGCCTGCTGTAGCTAGCGCTAACAACGCGCTAACACTAACATGAAGCAAACTAATACATAAACCACAAAGTAAAAAGATCATCATCATTGAACAAAAAGATCATCATCATTGAACAAAAGTTATTACTTACAAGTCCAGTAGCAACAAAGCCATGTCACCATCAGTCTGTGATTTTGTAGCCTCCTCTAGCTCCCTCAAACTAGCGTAGGCCGCACCAATGTTCACTTTAGTTTTAGCTCTTTGCTCCAAAGACATTTCTCTCTTACTTTTACTTACAGGCTCTGCCATGACGCAAACAGAAAAAGCAAACTTCTTTTTCTTCTTGTTGTGTTTTTATTGACAATTGGTAATCTGAAAATGTTAACTACTAGCATTATAGCTAACAGCCATAAAGCAGGTGAAGAGCGCCTCCTAGAACACCTACTCGCTCCACAAAACTAGTGTGTTCTTTGGTCAGCAGAGAGGTGTCAGATATGAAACTGGTCAAGTTTGTAACCAACAATCACTGAAGTCAACGTTAAAGCTCTAGTTTAAAGTTTACTAAACTGTCTGTTGTTACTTTAAGCAGCACTGGTGCTGTTGACAAGACTTGGTAAAGTAAATCCAACGTTTCGTTTTTTTGAGTGTGCTCCTTTGATCTTTTTTCCTTTAAAACCAATTAACCATGGTTTGACTCTCTCTGGCTGAAGTTACCTCTCACCATGGATTGAATTTATGGTGGACCTCTGCAGCTCTGTGGGCCGGTTCAGACCTCCTGGTGTCACATTGTGTCTGATAGAGTTTCCTCGTCTCGCACATCATCTGGAGGAGACGTGTGAATGTTCTGCTGTTTAAATTTGATTGAGGTTCCTTGTTGGCTTTGGTTTCTCAGCAAAGCTTGGTGTGATTGGAGCAAAATGTGTTTGCATAGAAAAATCAAACTGTGAGACGCTGACAGGTGAGATGTGACCTCTCAAAACGCATGTGACAGGGTATTGTTTGAGTTGACAGCAAGTTAAACAATCTTCCCAGGAAAAATGTTGTTTCCCTGAAATCCAGCTCCATCAATGATTATCTTTTGAAAGGTGGTTTTTATTTACCTAATCAAAAAGTGGGTGAGGATTTATTCCTGGTGAAAACTGGTGATGTTTCTAAGAATAACGGTCTACTGGAATAGAAAATAAAGGACAGGGGTTTAAAAACAACGTTTGTCGTTTTAGGAACGTTTTCAAGCTGGTAGGAAAAGTCCAATAATCTAAGATGAGCGTTTTCAGACCCAACAATAACATCCTTTAGATGAAGTTTGGTCTCCCTGCGGTAGTCATTAAACTCTGAGTCAAAGTTTTCAGCTTTGTCATCAAAAGCATCAGAACTCGCTCTGCCAACAAAGTATTTCAGCACTGGACATTTACTTTTATCAATAAACCCCTCTATTAAGTCATCGTTCCTCACTAGTTTAGTCAGCAGTTATGTTTAAAATCTCTGAAAGCTCTTTCTCTATTTTCTCCTGAGATATTTGCAGCTCTACCTTCAACAGAAAGCTGCCCCGAGGGCCAAAGTCAGTTACGACTGGCCTATTGTCTGTTCTAAAGACTCAATAGAGGCCTTTCACGATGCGACACTGACTGTTTTATTGGTGGTTTGTTGATCGGGAAACTCACCTTGCTCTAGAACGGCATGGGCCCCTTGTGGGAAAGACGGGGCCGTGGGCGTCTTCTCTTGGCTGGTCTGTGGGTTTGACCACCTCTCACAGGATTCTGCTGGACCATTTTTCTCGCCGTAGAAGCCTCTTCCAGCCCTCTGCCATGCTCCGTGGAGGCCATGGGACCTGGAGGACACACAAGAACAGTGTGGAGATCAATTAGACACAAAAAAGAAAAAAAAAACGTCTCATCAGGTAGTGTTACAAAAGCTCTTCTCACTCTGGGTATCACAATATGATCATGAGGCAAATCCATCAGCGCTTGAAGCAATATGCTGTGAGATCAGATGGGTAATAGATGAGGAAACCAGAGACAAGTATCAATGGATGTGTGTGTGTGGCCCCCTTTGAGCCCACCCAGCGTTGCTGCTCATCAGGTCAGTGTGGTCCACCGACAGAGGCGAGAAACTCAAACCCTCGTGTTTCATGTCTCCATCACTTTCCCCGGACTCCACAGGACACCGAGCCCCGCACTGGAGCATCGCGTCGGAGGATTTGATCGAAGCTTAGGGATAATTTTTAAAAACCAGCAAGTCTAGCAAAGAGTGTGTGCACAGCTGTGTGTGTGTGTTTGAGAGCTATCCCAGATGTTTTCAGTCATCTCTCAATAAGTGTGGCCTGAGACCCCTTAATCCCTTCTTTTCCTCGTGGTTTAGTCCACCCCGAGTGTCTGCGTGACCTCTCAACCTGCTGCAGATCCTCCTTTGTTGCTTTTGGATGTATAATAATATATTTAAGACTGAGTGAAATCAGAACAAAGGCATACCAATTAATATAAAAGCGGTTAAGCAACCATGCTGATCTGGCATAAATACTGATGGCTTGTCATCTATTAATTTCATGAGCTAACGAGTTACTGAAGTGAGTCCCTATTCTCAGATCATTTTAAACTCACCTGATTTAAATTGTGCACATTTCTAACTTTTCAGTTTATTGCTTCTTTCTACATTTGAAAAAATAAATAAATAAATAAACAATCCCTTCAGACTCGAACCAACTATTCTTTCCTTTCTTTGTGAGTCTTCCATCAAAAAGCTGATTGGCATTATTCACACGAGGTCATGACATTCTTGTCTCCTCCCCTCGCTGAGACTGGCACCATTTTTAGAATTCCCCAGAGTATGACCTTCTTTGGCTTTTTAACAACAGCCTGGGCGAGGATGCAGCTTAAGATAAGTCAGCCAGTTGACGGCAGAGGCTTGTAAAAGTAGAAAAACGCACTGAGGCTAGCAGCCGAGCAGCTTAGAAAAGCCGTTATGATGCTAAGGTCTGCACTTTTCTTTGGAATCAGTGGGTGTGAGCTGCTGGGACGGAGTAGTGAGCCACTGCTGCGTCTGAAAACGCCACAGCTTCCAAAAGTTTGTTTAGGATAAGATCCGTCTCCCTCAAGTGCAGGAATCAAAACACGATCAGGATGAAGGAAAAATTCTATTCAATTCAAAGATACTTTATTAATCCCAGAGGGAAATTAATTAAAGAAAACCTTTATTAATTAAGGACCGTCAGCCTCGCTCCAGGAACATAAAAGAAAAGCCTGTTCTCAAACAAAACAAGAAGAGGATTTCAAGCTTTCAGATGTAAATAATGATGATATGCAGAGCCAGACAGCTCGCTAAAACTTTTCACTGAATTTCCCCGAAACGCCAGACATCTTAAGTTCCATTTCCACACTAATCTTCTTCCGTAACCATGTTACACAGTATATTTGTGGGCTAACACTGAGCTAATTCAGTTTCAGCACAAAGAAAGCAAATCTTAGCTACATATTTCCACATCTAAAGCACATTTTTGGCCTCTAGGAGCCCTAATCTATGCATTATCCTCTTGTTATTGTTCCAGATAAACTGTGAATGAAGGACGCTGACATGTCCTGAAGGCATTCAGCTTGTTTCTTTCACATCCATGAGCTTGAATTTTAAAACTCTGAGCGTGTGAGTAGATTTTCAGACTGACAAAAGTATTATAAGAAGGTCCTGTTCCTCTTGATTTGTCCTTTTAAACATCCTCTTCATTTAAATGCAGAGCACACAGGAAAAACAAGAATGCCAGGGGACTTGAAAACAAAATAGCTCTTTTTACCTGAAGGAGGACCACTTTAAAACAAGCAGAACCGTAAGTTTAACATCCACCATTTTTGTTTAAAACATTTCTAAAGATTAAACTTGACAAAGGTTATGTTTTTGTCTCTCCTAACTCACACCAATCCATCATGATGTAAAGCAAATACACTCCAATGGTTGCACTAAACCTAACTATTTAAATGTAAAGAGTAAAATACATGGTTATTGTTAACATTAAATATGTATTACTCTTTACATCTAATTAACTAGGTTTTGTGCAGAGGTCTGCAACCGTTACGCTCCAAAGAGATGTTTCTGTCCTGTCTACCTAAAAAAACTTGTGTAGAGCTTCAACTGTTACCTGTTGAAAAGAGACAAGTTATCGTGTTTGATCGAGTTTTATGGAAGATAATTAGGGCCAGTGAAAACAAATGTTCCCAGATTTCTGACAAACAAACAAACAAACAAACAAACAAACAAACAAAAGCCAGAGTTTTAAGATTAAAGTCAGAATTCAACATCCTTTTTCTTGCATTGAAGTCAGAATTTTTTTTTTCTCTTTTGTAAATGTCTATTATAGAACTTTTGTTGTCAATTTAGAAAATAAATGAGTGGATTTTTTCTTTATGAATTTGATATAAATTGAAAATGATAAAAAAAAAATTATAAAGGCGTGGCAAACTCGTCCAATCATTCGCAGTGTTGTGGTAGGAATGCCCAGAAGCGCTTGGATCAGCATGGACAAGTTTGTTTCCTGGACTCTAAAACAACAAGTTTTCCCCGTTGTGAGTCAAGATGGGTGAGTCCATGAAGTGACAGTGTGACGTAGATCTGTCAGGATTTTCTAATCCTTGAGTTTCATCGTCTATTTTCTATCAGAAGCTAATGCAGCAGATAGGTGTAGGAGACTATTTTCACGTTCAGCCTGCATGAAAAACTCAGAGTGACCGATTATAATCAGAAATAATCATACATATTTTTTCACAGTTCCACACCTCTAAGTGGGGAAGACCCTAAAATCCACTTGTGGCTCCACAACCACAGGTTTCAGAGGTTTAGTGGAACCAGCTGGTGTAACTTGGTTGAGTAAATTCAACATTTAATTTCTTACAGTGTAGCTAGGACAGAGATGACACTGGTGAGGAGTTACAGACACCGTTTGTCCATTCATCAAGCAATCCATTTCAACCAGGAGTCTTTAAATACACACGGCTAACCTGCAGCTGATGTTTAGGTTATGATCTTCTTCTAAAGAAGAGCTCCAAACACCTGAGACACACACACACACACACACACACACACACACACACACACACACACACACACACACACACACACACACACACACACACTCGGGGGGTCGTTTCTGGATGGCTCGGCCTGTCATAATCCTGGTCCATAATGAGACGATTTAGATGTCTCCTGTCATGGCAAGCTGTCAGCCGCAGCCCCGCGCCGGGGTTTCAAGGGAAAGAGCATCTCGTGATTCTCCTGACAAATCTCAACCTATCCTATCAGGCTACAGGAGGGCAACGTGTAATGAAAGCTTCTAAAAATAAGCCAGCCTCAGTGATAACTCTGGCAGTATAGATTAACTCTTGCAGACTGCAGGGAAAATGTCTTAATGTGAGATAAATATTGACAGCTTTGAATCTCAAACGAAGAACACGCCGGTGTATGATTCTCCTCTTTAAGATCTTTTGATTGTTTTGTTGCAGGAATTTATGAACGATGGTTCACATTTCCTCAGTAAAAATAAAAATATCTCTGTGATCTTAATTTTAAATTAGATCTAGCTTCTGTGTTATCCCCCCTCCCGCTGAGCTTTTCCCATGAGAGATTTCCATGTTTGCGTTCAGCTGGTCAAACACAATAAGCGGCATCTTACCACAACCTCTGATGACCTTGGAGACCTTGCTCTGCCCTCTTTCCATCATATCTCAACACATCTTCCCTCACTTGGTAGTTCCCTAATTAAAGTTTAATAAAGGGGGAATTTCAAGAATGCTTTGCTCCTGCCTCCACATAAAGGAGGAGAGTCGACTTATAAAGGGAGGAGAAGGCGATCATTTAAAGAAAAATGTTTTTTTGACTGCGTCACAAACTGGCCAGTCTCCAGAATAATGAGCTGTGTGGCTGCTCTCTATTTCCCTGTCCTAGTTTCATCAACCCCTAAGGTGATTTCTGTTGTTGCCTTGCTCAAACGATCCCACTCTTTGTTTAATTATGGCCCTGCTGACGGTTTATCCTTGTCGTTTCTGCGCCAGTCCATCAGCGGAGCCTAGAGAGACACGTACATCTCCTGCTTGTCCATCCAGCCAGATGAGTGAGACGTCTTTGCCCTCTGGTTTGGTGCCAAGCTCATCAGCTGTTCTGATGTCTGGCAGGAACAAACTATACATCACAGTCATTTATCAGCGCAGAAACTCAGCATGGCAAATGAAGTAATTAATAGCTGTAAAGTTGATTTTTGTGTTCGGCTGCCAAAACGACCACGTAACAAATGTGCGCACTTGTAAATGAATCCACAGCTTTAATGGTTTTTCTGCCGCTGACAGATTAAATTGAGCTGGCCTGGAAGTCAAACTACAGCAACAAGTCGAACACGGAGTCAATACATCAAGTATGAAACGTGCACAATTAAGAATGACCCCAATAATTTCATCCCAGCAGTGTTTAATAATTATTTTTTTTTGTTGCTGCAAATCGATTTGTTGTCTTCTTGAATGATACCCGTTTGTTTACGCCTGTTGCTCACCTCTCATCAAACCCATCATGAATCTGTCGTGTGCAATCTCATAGATCATTCTCACGCCTGGCTGAGCTTTTCAAATCTAATCTCTTCTCTGTGTGTTTACTTTTTCACAGTTGGTATACGTCCCTTATCTGACGCCACAGTGATTTTGCATTTTGCATGAAGGTATCTTCAGAGGGAAACAGAAAGCTGGGAAAATGAAAACTAGGTGAGGAGATGTGTTTGTTTGATTAGATTTTAGACTTTGAGTATCAAAGCTGGGTACGTATTTGTGAGTTTCACTAGCAACACGTGTGATTTGATGCAACTTT